AAAAAAATGAATGAAAAATGAACAGATAAATAAATAAAAAAAGAAGGAAGCCCCAACGTCCAAAATATCCATTTATTATCAGTGCATGTATGTTACCAAGTAGCTTTTTTCAAGAAATGCAAACATTTATCAGAATACAAGTGCTTTACATTCGTCAGTAACATGTATATGATCGCCATTACAACACAAGACCTCACAAGTTGCCTCAATCAAACAACCAACCTTTTTTTGGTTGGATTATTGATATCAAATGTGTAACCTCACATGAAGAATTGCCACATGTCCATCAAATCCATGACAACATATCGGAACTACTTTCAACACTCACCCACTTTATAAAAGGCTATATTGGCTTATTTTCCGATTTCTTGTCGACCTAAACGCATTTAAAATGCACGATGTACGTTATCGAAAAGTTTGTGTACATGTTATCTTTAAACAAGCAGCCGAATTCAATGGAATAATATTGAATTCTTCAATGCGCGGACTTCAACACATGAGAAATTCGGCGTCTGGGTCAGGTCTTAATCTTAATTGATTTTCTGAATTATAAAAAGTCAAATATTTCAGGGTCGTTTCAAAACACAAGATTTTTGCCATATGAAGAATATTCCTCGGGAGATAAAAGGCTTCAAATTAAAGGAATGATTTCACTTTGTCGCTTTCTCTCGATACCATATTGATCGCGAACTTAATCGACAAAATGTTATTGTTTTCATAAAATAAGCTTGTTTTGTGATTTCATGCCTTTTCCACATCCTGTGTTGATATTGTAAAAAGAAAAAAGAAAAAGAAAAAAATTAAGAAGAGAGAAAAGAGAAAAAAATATTTTCCTTCTAAGTAAAAATGACAAAGTGTTGCTTAATCGCAAAATGTTTTTGCTTCTGATTTGTAAATCCTTTATCAAGATGTCATCCGTTAGCTCGTTGATGTGAAGCCCATTCATTCACTTGCTTTGATTCGCTTGTCTTTTCGTTTCTCACATATTCATTCATGCATCCATTCACTTGATTTAGTCTCTGAAAATTGCCAAGATACTAAGGTTTCACGTCTGTTCAAAGAAACTTGCGCCCATGTCAATACACAGTAAATAAGATGTCGAACTTATACATTCAAGGAAAAAAAATTACCTGGAAGTCAGTCTAATATAAATCTCAGTTTACAGTTGCATTGTGTATTCGTTGAACGATCTAGTTGCGCGCGGCTCATTTAATTATAAGATATGTAGTTCTAGAATAATTTCAGTGTCAATTCACAGAATGATATATGCAGTTTGTACAAAAAAAATATACTTTTTTTCATTTAAAATGTTGTTTTGGTTTTTTGTTTACAACTTGTGAATTACTTTCATGTGGGCGAATCGTGCGGCTGAAATCACGTACGAAAAGTTGAAATTTAAGAGATATAAGTCACTTACTTTGTAGAGAATGTTGTATGAAATTTTATGAAGAAAAGTGGAAAATCTGCTTCCTTGCAAAGGTCCCAGAAAACCGCTTGAGTTGCTCTTTTCAGAGCTATTTCCTTCGTCTTTTGTATTGGGTTGTCAAGTTTAATCCTRGAACGCGCAGATACCGTCAGGTGCTCAGTGAATGGTAGGCTTGCTGAGCAACAATGTAGTTTTTATAATAATATCCCAGTAGAAAGCGACCCTGGTTTCAGCTGATGAGCAATTCAAAGTTTTTTAATTAAAATCGGTATTTTTTTATATTTTTGTTTTGGGATCGCTTTCGCCAACGCACAWTCGCAGAGGGCTGAYTGACATTGAAGTAATTAGGTCTAGCTTGACTGGAATACGATCGATGTGAATTGTTGTTGTTTTTTAATTGAACATTAATATTCATTCCACAAAGTCACACGAATAAAGTTAACTGTAGCCCAAAAAAAAGGTATAAGAAAAACTTTGAGTACTAAACCCTTCACGTCGCATTCAAATTTCGAAATGCATTGTTGGCATAACGAATTGAAAATGGCGTTACAAAATGACAAAATGTTCTAAACCTTATTAATTTAGCGGCGATGTGTGACCAACAATGCAGTTCGGTCTTGGAATACACTCTAGTGTTATTGAGTAATCAACGTTCTTTGAAATAGCTTTTAAGCTAAAATAAAATTAAAAAAAAAAAATAAAATAAAAAAAAGTAAAAAAAAAAAAATAATAAAAAAAGCAAAAAAAAAAGAAGTAAAAATTAATATATGACGCAGGTAGCATACCATGCAGAGAGCACAGAATCTTATATGTAAAGATGGTCCACAAAATTTCGAGGCGTTCGTAGTTTAATTTTTTTTTCACATGGAAAATTAGGTGACATCCGAATATCCATTGGCAATTAACTTCCATCCGTCTGTTAGTTTAAGATCGAATCTTACAATATCTCCATTTAAAGAACATAAGGGGATAATAAAGAATAAGTTTTTGCTTAGTATATTACCATACGAGAATGAACAGCACAAAAGGGAAACAAAGAATTAAGAACCTTTTGATGCACCGAGTGAATAAATTGCGTCTTTTGAACGTCTGGATATTTCCGCCAAAGCCAAGACCCCTTTTGGGATGTACTCCCTCATCTTGCCCTGCACATATTCAATACAGCGCACGCAAGACGCAAATCAACCGATGCTACGCAGCTGCACAAAACCACGCCTTGACCGTCATGCACATGAACAATAGACCAGAACACAACGCGCGCAGGCGCAAGGAAGGTCTCCAATCAATGGCAGCTTTTTTGATCAGTAATTTCAGCTTTTATTACCAAGAAAAAAGGAAACTGCAGGAAGGACAATGATGAGAATGGACAGCACAAAAGGGAGACAAAGAATTAAGACCCTTTTGATGCACCTGAGTGAATAAATTGCGTTTTTGGACGTCTGGATATTTCCGTCAAAGCTAGGACACCTTTCGTGATGTACTCTCTCTTTTTTTTATACTTTCAGACGTAAATGGGATTTTTGGTATGAAACTTTCATTCTAAATTTCCATATGCAACAGTGTTGCCAAGGCCTTGCATCAAAGAGTGGTTTAGCCTGCACTGATAGATTGTCTAATTATATATTAGGTGTGAACAAAACGTTTCTATAATTGCACGCTCAACTATCTTGCTTTGATAGAAAGGCTAGGTTACTTTTCAAGATGGCGCTGGGAACAGCTGTAAAATGTAGTTAGTCACTTTTATGCCGGTCACAAATCCCTTCTTAAAACATTGATATCTCATTTTTTTTGGCTCTTAACATTTAATAAAACTATATAAAACTCTTACCATGTTTTTTTTTTAAATTCTGACGCTGTTCGAGGGTTTTTCCTTGAAGAATATGGGGGCCAGTTTGATGCTTTTACGGCGCGAGTTCTTTCATCAACGTCCTCAGCTATCTTGTTTTTCATCTCCTTTTCATGTGCTTTTATGTGTTGCTGTAATGGTAAAGTAATTATAAAGATAAACCGAAAACCCATTTCTTGGTTAAATCCTTACTATTACAACAAATGCGAGGCAAACTGAAACTGCATTCAACTGCATTCTGAAAATACTAGAACGACCGGGATCCCTGTGCCTATATCTTCGCGCGCGCGCGCGCACGTTGTCCGATTTCCTCTCACCTTGAAGATGGCGTCCATATTTTACTTGGGCAACGATTGCTTACTATCTATTTTGACTCAGATTGAAGATTTTAGATCATTCTACAACTTTTCTCTCACATGTAAGCAATTCTACGAACTTACTAAAAGGCCACGATACTGGAATCTTAGCATCGTGAAGAGAAAAGCTCGCTTTTATGCGACAAGATTTGTCGTCAAAGAGCTGTCTTCATCGATGTTCGCTTTGAATTACAACGCTGTAATAACTGTTAGAGAGATCCTTCGCTGGGCCAACATCTGCAACAAGATGAAACCAAGTTTAGAAAATGCGTTGAAAGTATTTGATACAAGGGGACCCGTCGCTGCTGAACTTTTTCTTTGGATAAGGGAATTTGAAACCATGAAAGATGCATATTACCCGAAGCACAGCGACAGCCCCTATTGGATGTTGAAGCACGTGGGCATCTTATTCCCAAACAGAGACGAGCTCGCMATAGTTTGTYTACTCTATAATAATGATGATTCTGATGATACTTTGGATGTCAGGAAAAGCTTTACAGAAGACTTCATTCGTTTCTTGCCGGGSAATGAAGATGAAGACGAAGATGAYGAYCCAAATATYATCCATGAATTCAAGAACTATTTGAAAAGTTGCAACTCCACAAAAATGCTAGATCCATTCAAAGAAATGGTTGATTATCTGCAGAGTAAGCTTGGGCCTACTAGCTCACCAATCACAYTGAAGTTTCTAATGAAAAGTCTTTTCCTGGCTGAGGAAATGCGTGAGATCAGCCCAGACATTGATACATGTATMAATGAAGAAGAAAAAATCTTCTTTCAAGATTCCTCCAAAAATGCTAGACCATCYGACGAATCTGTGAGAGWTGCACTTRATTATTGGAATAMACCTTACAATGAYGGTGAAGAAAGCTTGATGAGGGTGGTTGAAAAGTCTCAAAATATCAAAGAACTATGCAAAATTTCWAAATTCCTGCCTTCAGAAGAACAAACAGATACCTTCTCATGGCTAGCAAATGTTAAGGAATTGTTAAAGGATGTTGAYGCAGAAACATTGATAATGTTAAGGCTCAGGTCAAGCTTTACCTATGATGCTTCWGAGTCTAGCAATGGCGTCAAAAGAGTCGTCAATGGRAGCTTCAGATTGCTCAATGGCAAAGAAGCAAAGCTGAARCTKTCTTTCATAGTTTGTGGAGAAGTAAAGTCATGGGGAGTTGTTAATATACCGGGTCGCAAGARCCCACTAAATGTGGCATCTGAGAATTTCACYTCTACAGGGAATTTTGCTGATATTCGACCACTAAGAAAGCTTCARCCGTTTACAAATCTGGTCAARAAGTGCTTGGGAAGTGAAGATCAGCCTATTCTGCTTTCAAATTGTGCTCTTTGGAGGTTCCTTTGTATGGATGCATTGCTGGAGACGTCGTATACGCAAGCAGAGTTTTTCTATTGGTTCCCATGTCCCTGTGATTTTTGGTACAACAGACTAGTTTCAAACACAGACTAAGACTCAAATTCCTGTTTCGTTTGTAGACATACATGTGACATTTAACATCAGTATCAAATTGAGTATCTTTAGCACTTGCATGCATTTCTAACCTCTCTTGTTTTCAGATACATGTATTCTGTATGTTGTAATCAAGCTATATTAGTTATAAACATTATTTTTGAGTTTAAATCATGTTATTGTTCTGTTAGGTGTTTTTGAGTATTTTTGCAATGTCTTGACAAAGCTTTTTAAAAATACAGACTGTTGAATTGAAAAAAAAACCAGGTTGATTTGAAAATCATAATCGTAATGATTATCACAACAAATGAAAATGTATTTTACTGCCAGTTGAGTTAATGTATCTTTATAAAAGGAAAAAAAAAAACAGTTGAAATTGTATTTTTTTTATTGATAATGTTAACAAAATGCCTATTTTTTCTTTTTGATTTTTACACCACCTGGATAAAGTTTACATATTTAAATAAAAAGACATCTTAAAAAATCATGCATTTTTTTGTAACAAAGCAGAGAGAAAGAAAGACCAGATGGGTGGGTTTCCTGTGTCARAMCCCAAAGAGCATCTTGGGAAGGGGTCCTTGCTGCAAAATGGCGGCAAGATTGGGRATGGATTGTTTATTGTCTATTTTGACTCAAATTGACGATTTTCGAACATTTTATAGCTTTTCTCTCACGTGCAAACAATTTTACGACCTCAGTCAAAATCCAAGACACTGGCATGTCAACATTGTAAAGAGAAAAGCCCGCTTTTATGGTGCACGGTTTGTTGTYAATGAGCTGCCYTCAGCTATGTTTGGACTAAATCCCAAAGCTGCCATCACAGTTAGAGAGATCCTTCGCTGGGCCAACATCGCCAGGACAATRAAGCCAACTTTAGACAATGTTTTGAAAGTCTGGGAATCAMGAGGRCCTGTCGCTGCAAGGCTKTTTCTRTGGWTACGAGAATTTGAAACCATGGGTGATGTTTTTGACATGAGGATCGAGGACAGCTACTTTTGGATGCAGAAACACGTGGGTATGCTTTTTCCATATAAGAAGGAAGTTGAAGTTGCCTGTCTACTTTATAATGCAGAAGACGATTATTTAATTGTTAGGAAAGATTTTATTCCAGACGGCGATGATGATGGCGATAATAGTAGCGACGAAGACGACCGCGACGACTCTCTAAACGTATGTATCCACGATTTTAGAAAGTACTTGSAAAGTTGGAATACCAGAAAGACACCGGAGCCTTTGCAGAAAATGGTCAACTATCTGCAACAAGTGCTTGGACCCACTARTTCACCAATAACAGCCAAGTTTCTACTGAAAAGTATTTTCATGACCGAAGAATTGCGCGATATATGTCCAGATATTGATCTGGAAGAAGAAAAAGTWTTTTTTCAAGATTCTTCTAAAAATGCGAWACCAACTGAAGATRAATSTTTATGGGATGCGCTTGAATACTGGGAAGAGACCTATGAAGATGAACAACKAGAAAGCTTRTTGTGTGTTGTTGAAGAGTCTCACAATGTGAAGAAACTATGTAACATTGCTAAATTCCTGCCTCTAGGTAAACAAAATGATGCCTTTACATGGTTTGGAAATATTAAAGAATTGTTAAAGGACATTGATGAGGAAACTTTAGTAATGCTACTGATGAGGTCAAATTTCTCCACCATTACAGAGTCTGGGAAGAAAATGGTAGTCAATGGAAGTTTTCGCTTATTCGGTGRTGAAGARGCAAAGTTGAAACTCTTGYTCATAGTCTGCGAACTTGAAATTATCACAATGGGGTTCATTCAGATACCTGGATGCGAGGATACAATAGATGTTTTGGTTGACAATTTTACATCCGCTGGACCCCATTTAGTTAATGCTATTGCCTCACTTCAAAGCCTYCAGCCATTCACAGACCTGGTCAAAAAAAGCATAGTTGGTGATGACTTGACTCGTGATGTCTTGCTTTCAAATTGCGCTCTGTGGAGATTTCTATGTATGCKTGGAATGCAAGCAGCATCTTATTCACAAGCAGAATTGTTTTACCAGGCAATGCCATGCCCCTGTTGGGGGAACTACAACCGACAAGAACAAATAAACATGATAAATTGACAAAGACATACTTAAGTTGTAAAGGAGTAAAACTGTTCTAAATATCAGAGTTATTGTTCTTCCTTGCAGCTGGTTATYGGTGTTASCMMYTYMWWAAAMCMMCYTTTTTYCYTTATGAACAGCCATGGGGAATAGTTCTACATGATAGGTGCCCCCRCATGTAGGTACCAGAGCCTAACTTTTTYTTGTTTTRAAGGGACATGGTCCACCAGCATCCCTTTCGAGCTTTTGTTTATGTTTKAAAATAGAAATACATYRTAATATAAGCAAAAACTTACTCTTTATTATTCCTTTATCCTATATGAATGGAGATGCTTTAAGATTCGACCGTTAAACCGATGGATGAAAAYGGATTGCAAATGGATATTCGAAGTCACCTCATTTTCCATATATGAAAAATCTAAAACAYGRCYGCATTGCATGCTAGTGGACCATGTCCCTTTAATCYTCAARGGAAAAGAAAACAATAGCCGAATGCCGAATTTCACCTCAGTAGTCAAACACAAAAKAATCAAGATKAKGCCATGTGTATGAASTTTAGTCAATTTTCACCAATGATAGAGCTGTATGCRCTGYGTCTCGTSTYRATTACTTTGTGTGTGACTACTGAGACAAATATGGCAAGTTAGCTATTGAGTTTGGCTCTACTACCTGCATGTAGGGGCAACCTACCTCGCATAAACAAGGCCTAAGACTTCCAACGAACAGTGGGMATGCTTGAGGAGAGGCTTTCAACAGGTTGACAACACCTTCTATTCTGAAACAATTTTTGTACTATCATAGCTTTCTGTAACTACCAAAGCATAATACTGAYAACAGCTGTAAGTAAAAATACAAGTTGAAAACATTGAATTTGCTAACAATATTATTAGTACTTCGTTTTGTTTGTACAAAGGATTTGTGCTTTGAAAATGTGTATTTTTGATAGATTTGGTGCTGTCATTTCCCATTCGTCTCTTTTTTTCCATTTTTGAGTGGGATCAGAGACCACTTCAAGGCCTGTTCTAAGATATGCTGTTTTATATTAGCAAGAACAGTTTTTTAATTGGTAAATTAGGTAAGCCATAATTGCTACTCTGAAAAAAGAATAAAGTTATTTATTGTTAATATCTGATGTTAATACATGTATTGTCTTGAATGTGCAAATACAGTGTTTGCAGTGAGGGCACTGGAAGGAACCAATCATATTTCAGCTTAAGTTTCAAGACCATAATACTTGAGAGAGCAGTATTACTATAAACTGATCTGATTGTCTAACCAGTTGCTATAAATTTTTCTACCAATTCTAACCAACTTCGAATAAGTTTCATTGTTAATTGAATTTTCATTTCACAGAGATTTTCAGAGATTTCTACAAAAGTTTTCAACACGAGAAGATAAAACTCGTATCTCCAAGGGACAATGTAATATTCTATGAGAAATCTTTTCACCACGAGAAGATAAAATTCGTATCTCCAAGYGAACATGTWATATTCTATTTATCATATAATTGTATATGAAAGCAAATTATGTCGTAARATACCTTTTTTTCTTACTTCCGCTATATAGAGAAACCTCGAATGTATTATTTCACTAGTGAAGATATCAACTTTACGAAACGGAGAAATATAGGTATTTCATAKATTAGTCTAGATAATTATATGATAAAATACCTTTTTTTCTTACTTCCTCTATATAGAGAAACCTCGAATGTATTATTTTCACTAGTATGTATTATTTTCACTAGTGAAAATAACAACTTTACGAAAAGGAGAAATATTGGTATTTCATAGACAATTATAAGATAAAACCAGAAGTACATAACGTACATAATGTACTTCTGATAAAACGCATTATCCATGTGTCGGGTACGTATCCAGTGCACCAATGGACACAACCTGAATCGCATCCTTAAGTCGTTTRTTTAGTGCGGGTACGTCATTTCCACACCTGAACTCGTTTGTTGCCGTTTTCAAGAACAAATACTCGACCATCTGAAGCGACATCGACATCAAAAGGATATGGCTCTTCACCACCTTTACTCCCGAAGGACCTTATGAACTGTCCGTCTTGACTGAAGACTTGCACGCGATGGTTGTGTGTGTCACAGACAAGCAGCATTTCATTGCCAAATATGGAAAGCCCACGCACGCCAGCACCAAACTGGCCTTCTTTGCTCCCTTTTTTTCCAAAGGTGTACAGAAGACAACCGTCTTTTTCATCAAAAACATCAACGCGACGACAAAACGATACAAAGTACTTATTGTTATCATAAGCCAATGAAAAAGGCTCTTTATAGATATTATCGGGAACCTTTAGTGTGATCTCAGAAAGGTGACGGTCGCAATTCTGTTTGTCAAGGAGCTTTATAAATGTCTGGTTTTTTTTATGATGATAGCCCAAACACGCGATGTTTTGATCCACTGAACGGCAGATTGCTTTMATTGTAACTCCTTGAGRAAATATACACAGGGATCCTTTGTAAGTACCATCGATGCCAAATTCCTTGATATAGCCACAACCATTTGCATTGTCACAGATAAGTAATTTGTCATCATTGAAGATTACTCCATATGGATTACTTAGTTGGCCACCAATATCTCGCAAATACTTTCCACCAGCATTGAATAGCTTAACGCGGAAGTATTCATGATGATTATTGACCACAGCTATGCAGGATCTCTCATTTACAGCAATTGAAGAGAGAAAGGACATGTCTTCAGTCTCTCTTTCATCGATCAGGATCCTACCGATGGACGTAAAGTCTGCTCTAGCATCAATTGTCTCGATTTTCTGTGGTGAGTTTTTGATTTCTTCTCCTGCAATACGCACAACAACTTTGTATGGCGAGGGTATCTCCGCTTTATACTGTACTAGGAATCTTCCAGTTTCAGTTTCAACCAGTTCTTTCCTCTGTACTTCGCTGCCATCAACACTTTGGATTTGAACTTTAATGGAGCCCTGATCGGTATGGCAAACATCTCCTTCTGAATTTTTTGTTACTATTATAAGATCATTGGTAAAACCACATCTGACGTTAGCTACAGATTCGATAAAGCAAACCGACGGATCTGTCACGCTTTCCTTTATCTCACCAATTTTCAGCTTTTTCAGAAGGGAGATGGCTTCCGGGTTTAAAATGAATTGAACGCATGCATTGCGCTTGACCGGTTCAGTCGATAATACATATGCGTCATTCCTGAATGGAGTTTTACCATTTTGTTGTAAACTTTGATAACTTTCTAGTATAAAGTGTTCTGAGTCACTTTCCATGATTTTGGCATACTCCTCTTCTTGTTCCTTGACTTGTTTGATATTGTCATTGATCTTATCTACCTCGCGTTTATTCGCCTCTTGTTGTTCTATATGCCAGTTATACACTTTTTCAACCATATCGGCTGCGTGATCAATTAAAATTCTTATCAAATAAGCTTGTGTTTCTTCGCATATCTCATCGCTTTTTGCTTTAGACTCCCTTTTAATCCTTTCCATATTTTCTTTTGACAGATCTAATTCTCTTTTATATTTGATAAGCAGCTCATTCAGRCGATCTCTGTCTTCTCCAACCAGTTTTTTAACATCCTCGGTTTGCTCCTTGATGGTGACCTTGTTATGGTCGTTACTGTTGTGCGTTGTTCCTGAACATTTCTGGCAAATGCACTGCTCGCAAGTTTTGCAATACAATTCGAGTGGACTATTCTCATGATATTTTTCTTTGCACATTGCTTGGATGTTTTTACGAGTGTTAACATCTCGCTTGACTTCAGTACCTGATGGCTCTATCGTCAGACGCGAGGACTTTTTCGACTGTATTGCCTCATCGCGGTTGTTGATGCTATATTTGGGGCAACCATCCTCAACGCTGGGTTTGGAGCAGCCTGCACCCTCTTCTGTAGGCTGCTCTTGGTTTTGTGTATGAACTTTTAGTTTCACTGCATCGAATAACTTAATTAGCGAAATGTAGAAAAACGAAGACGGAAGCTTCGAGGTGTTGCTCAAGTCGATGGCGACAGCAGCTTCACAGTTTGGGCATTTGAAACAGATAGTACTTTGTAAATCAGAAAATTTTTCTTGACACTTTTCACAACAAACCAATTCGTCATCAGGAATGAAACTTGCTGCCATTGCAACGAACGTGTTTCCTTTATGGTTGGCCGAGTGGTCACCAAAATAACTATGACAGCAACAAAGCAGAGAATTTCAAACACGTAAATTTTGTCAAAACAAAGTTTATTGAATTGAAACCATCTGATCAATTTGCATGTTTATCACATTATCATTCAGTTCTATGAGCTACAACTTGTCAGTTTTGGACATTGAGCAATATCTACAATATGCTCTGATCACGATTATATCAGCCGGGTAGTATCTGTATTAAGTAATGCCCCGAGTAAGAACTATAGAAGCAAACGGCAAAGGAATGCAAGAAGGTGCTAATTGTGTATTGTATAATCCATCCATCCCATTGGTTCAAACAAGAAAATCTGCTATAATTTTACAAGTTAGCGCATTTTCTAATATTTTATTTAATATCTGATTCCGACTTCATGAAAGCTTTCTTTAGCTACAATATTAAGGCAATTCTATGTGGGGAGAACATAGCAAATTAGAAGCTTCTTTTGGCTATTGTTTTGAGTGCTTATGATTGGATAAGAGGTTTTACTACAAAAGAAACTTTGTTTCAAAATAGAGTTCATGCACATTTTATTTCAAAAATGCGTTACCCATAGGTTGATATATAATCACTGTGAAAACCAAGACATTTGTATGTGGGGAAGTTGCAATGCCGCAGAACAATAGAGAGTTCTACAGTTCTTACGCGCATTGTTACTTAAACAATCATTATTTTTGGGATCTGTAGGGATCAAATCAAAGTWATCTTTTTTCCGCAGGGATCAGAAATCTAGCCTTATACCGGGATCACAAGGGGTTGATACAGGATTTTTCCTGGAGGGAATGTCATATCTTTAAGACAGAGTTCGTGCTACAGGCCTTATTGAGGGTGGAAAGAGTGCTCAGCTAGAACTCAAAGATATTACATCCGAAAATCCAACCAAGTTGTCCAAGCATGCTTGCAAGAAATAATCCAGTTTCGAATTCTCCAATGCTCTGTGCTAGCCTCATTTGTGCGCAAAATATTCGTAATTGTGAGAATAAAAGTGTGAGATTTCATATCAATTCTATTGTATTTCTTTTCAAATTCCATGTGTTTTCACAGGCTATCAATAAGACAAAAGAATATGTTACTTGGTTTTGAGGCTAACACAGAGCAAACCAGAACTCGAAATTGGAGTATTGTGCCAAATGAAGCTGGTCTCACTGGTCTATCATCTACAACAAACGTCATTGGAAGAAAATCTTGACTGTGACCGTACAATGATGTTAGAGTGCTACAACAATTCCACACACTGGAGCGCAAAGCGACAGGTGTTATCGATAATGGCTGATAAAGTTAGTTTTAAAGAGCTTCAAAGATGGTTACCATGCATAACACGATGGCAATACAATATAGCAAGACATCATTGCTTGTTGCACGGAAGTGGTGCTGTTGCTCCTGTTGAGAAAACGACTAGGATGTACATTCCTCATTTGTGACCAGCCAATATGTTGTCCAAGATGTACCATATTGTGCAAAGTCTGTCAAGTTCTCAACCAACGTTGAAATCAGAGTGCCTAATGTTATCAGAGCCAAGCCAAAGAACACAGCCATACGCGAGGAAGACAAGCCATTCTACAACAAATACTGCAATGGAACAAAAGAACTGTGCGTCGAGACGGCAATGAGATTGATGAGGTAGGTTAAGTTGATTGACAGTGTTGTTTGGTTCGGTAACCGGTAACGTGCTACATTTTCACTACAAAATTCCAGGACTTTTCAAGTACTTTTAAGCACAAAAATGCSATTTTCAAGGAGTATTTTTGAAGATATYTTTTGATGTTTGAAACAATCRCSCTTTTTCAAAAATCGCAAGTGTAAACGGGCCTTAAGAACRACAATTGATGGTGGACCCTTGATCTGCCATTGACCACATTGACCAATGTCCGAGAAATCGTGATGGACAGAAACGCCACCCATGGAATTGCAATAAAATATTGGTAACACTTTGTAAATGATTTCYGAGACTAAAACTGTGTAATATGGTAAAATTCATCATCAAAAARGCATCACAAAACGGAACATGACAAATCCCTTCCCACAATTACCTTTGAACGAAGTCTACTGAGGCTTGTCGTTGATTTAACAACGAGTGCGAGATTGACTACGAGTTTTAAAATTGGCCTTCAAGTGTGCTATTTATCATGCATTCCTGTGAATAGATTGAAAAATCAAAGAAATAAAAACACGAAGTGGATTGAAATCCAGTATGGACGACGCATAAAAGCTGTTTTGAAAACTCGTACTCGTACTCAATCTCGTATTGTCAAATCTGAAGTTCCGAGTGACGCAGTGACGGCTTCGTACTAGATTTACCACTTCTCTCAAGAAATTTTCAAAACGTATACAAGATTTAAAGTCAAGATATTTTATTATAGTAAATTAATAATCCATTTAACATAGAATATCAACTTCTATGTCTTCTTCACATTCTGATAGAGAGGATTTCCTGCTCAATGATACAACCTGCAAATWAAATATAACACAAAATATCAAAATGAATTCAGAAATTAAACCCATGAGTACACTATGGTCTTCTTCACGGTTCCCTGTGCCATCTTGAAAGGTGGCTGTGGCTTTGCATCGAAGCGAGACGACCGTTGAGAGTGCAATGACAGAAACCTTCTTTCACACCTACAGACAATGATTGACTGGTTTCTATCATTGCACATTCAACGGTTGTCTCGCTTCGATGCAAAGGCATGGCTACCTTTCAAGATGGCGCACGTTAACCGTGAAGGACACTATTGTAACAATCAATCATACGCATTATTTTTTGACAATATATATTACTATATAAATATTATCTCTGCTGAAATAAAGTTGCACTGAAGCCTACCTCTTCCTTACTAAAGAGACCACTACGTTTCTCTTTCTCCATTTGCCTGTGAATTCTTGATAGTAGYCCTTTACTTTTTCTAGACTTTTTAGACACTGGTTTTGTAGTGAGTGGCTTGGCTGCTTTTCTCTAAGTACCATGAAGATAAAAATAAAAATAATTATTATTATAAAACTCATTAATATTCATAAGGCAAAACACAATAGAAATCATAGCCCATGAAGAGAGTTGTATATTACATACAGATCGCCCGCTCATATTGTATATATTACTTATCATCATTCTGCATGTTGTAGAAATAGGACATTGTATGCACACCATAAACAAAAGAAAAATAGACAAAAGAAAGGAATTGAAGACAACAATTTTCATGTSAATGTAGGATGCATAAAGGATGAAAAAGAAATAATAATACAGAACTGGAATTATGCAAAGGGAAGTTTTTAAAAAAGAAAGGAAGCAAGCCCAGATACATGTACATAAAAGAATGGAAGGCAAAATGTATCAAAAGGGAAAAAGAAGCAACTACAATTAAATGATGGGAACTAGCAGTAAACTAGTGTAAGCTGCAATGAAATGAAATGAAAATAATTACTAATAGAGAAACAGATGGGAAATTGTATGACAGATGTGAAAGAGAGCAAAGCAACTAGAACAGAAGAAATCATTCATAGCAACAGTGAGTGGTAACACACGGAACATAGAAATAACTGAAGAATTCTCTCACTTTAATTACCTTGGAATACTTGGGATGTGATGAAGGCGATCCTTTACTAGAATTTTGTTTTTGTCTTGATTCTGTTTTCAAACAAAAAAGAGCATTTTTTTAAAGTCGATGTATACCAAAAGTAACAAAATAAAGCAAAAAAACCCACACACATTTCAAAAGGCACTTTATGACTGGGAAAATACATGTTTGGACTTAACTTTGGTACAGTACTTCCAGCATACATTGGTATATAAAGCACATGTATACAGCAAGTTTTTACATGTTGATCTTATGGGCTTTTTCATTTTCATGCACRACATTCCTTGATTGTCACTATTACATAATTGAGAGGGTTTCTTGAACCAAAACAATAGAATTTKAAAAAATGTTATAATTTATCAATTTACCTGAACACTTTTTGCAACTGTTACTTGAAACATGTTCACTGACATACAGTTTTAATTGTTGGAATTTAATATCATTAAATGCATCAAGATCTGGAAAAATAAATAGACAAAATTATTTCTCTTACGGACTACTATAATATATTAAAAATAAATTTTTTAGGGGGTGGGGTGGGGGGCATTTTTTGTGGGAAGGGGAAGGGATATCAATGATCTAATGTTACAAAGAATGACCAAGTGGAGTATTTCCTGGATAATTGCCCACTGTTTTTGTCCAGGATTCCTGGTCTGGGTTGTTCAAAGTCTGACAAGCATTACAGGGCTTACTCTAAAGGTTTATACAAGTTAGCCCAGCTTTAGCACTTTTGTTGAACAAACTGGCTGGCCCTAGTGAGCTYTTTTTAGGTTTTCCTTCACTATCCCCTTTACCTATGAAAAATTCTGTGTCTGTTGATGACACGGTAGCATCAGGACTAATGATTCTAATAATATCCAGTTGTTCTCTTAGCCCAAGTGTAGTTGATACAACCCTTGTAAGATATTCTATTGACTGCAGCTGATCTTCTGAATTCATTTTACTCCTACGGAAAAGAATAAATGTCAGTTAGGCTTGGTTCAAATGCCAAGATACTTAAAGGGCTACTTGGACGAAAATTTTGAAACATTAGAAAAGACTTGGAAATCAAATATTAGACCTATCTATATGGGTCTAATAATCATGAAGCAACAGATTTCAACAAGATATTGATACAAGTCCTTAATAATTTGGGCAAAAAATGTTGGAGTAGATGACGTCATTTACTCCATCCTTTTGTTCTTCCATCTTTTGAATCAAAATTTCTCTGACGTGGGATAATTCCAAAACAAATATTTTCCCACAATTGTTTTTAATAGATATAAATGAGTCATATATTTGTATTGCTTGAAGTTTTGAAATAAGACCATTTTCATGCAAGTAGCACTTTAATTCAGTCGTACTTCAATGTAGAATTTTGGTTGACCTAAATAACAGAGTTCAGCAGGTCGGCTCAGTCATCATACTTAATTTATTAAGCTCAAGATTGGTATGCCTGAGAAGGTYGTAGCAAAAATCTATTCATTCTTAACAGATGACAGATAGTTGAACTTAATAGGGTCAAACAGTGTATTTTACATGAACTAAATTCAAAAAATTAATACGTMTCATGTTTAGTACAGTATTTAACCCAAGCCTTACTTATACAGACTGTATCATTACTAAGCAATCAGGCAGTGACACAA